ATTTAATATGTATAGCTTACAAATGTTTAATAAAGCACACTTAACTAACCTGACAGAGGGTTAAAAAAAAAAAAAAAAACAAAACAAAAATTTTAAAAATAAAACTAAGTATTAAAAAAATAAATTGATTAAATATTTGTCGAATATTTGTTAAATATAAATTAGATTCAATTTAAATAAAAATTTATTTAATCAAATTTAAAATTTTATTAATCAAAAAATCAAAAAAATTTTGTGCAAACATCTTTTTTGTATGTAGTTAGAGAATCAGCGGAAAGAGTTTTTTTTAATCTTATTGCTTATGTCTGCATTGTCCGTAGATATCACGTGAAATTAGCAATACTAAACTATAAAAGCCTATACATATCCGCAGCGCTTTGATTCACGGAAAGTCTTAGGATGGCTTCGAACGTCGTTGTTTTTCTTCCCGGAGGCGTCAGACAGCTCGTAAAAACAACACCGATGATGACTTTAAAACAAATAGTCAATGTTGTCTGCGAAAAGCAGAAAGTGGAAGATATTGAAAATTGGGGTTTAAAGTAAAGATCCCTTAGCTTTTTGTTTCGCGCCAATTTCAATCCATCAATATTTTCTTTTTTATTTGGTCTGTGGCATAGACAGAATAAGACGATTCTTGATCTTAGTCTTTCCGTCCGATTTGCCAATCTTGCACCGGGCGCGAAACTTGACTTAATTCGCATTACCGCACCGAAAGGTACTTGGATTATCCGTTACCATGTTATCATAAGTTTCCTTTTATTTTCACTTATATTATTTAATTAGTTCATAGTGATGTTCAAGTTGCCCTACAAGTGGAAGATGGTGGAAGGGTAATCGAGAAGTTTCCCATTACGACATCTTTATGGGATATGTTAGTGCATTTTGAAAATTCATCACAGGACAGGTAAACTCTGAAACATTTATCATCAATACTATTATGAGGTTAGGAATTGATTAATCAGGATTTATTTTTTATAGATCTCTAAACCTTACCAAGCGGACAGCTCCAGCACCTAAAAAAAAAAACTTTTTCAAGAAAATTGGTGGGCAGTCTAAGGATCGTCTTTTTTATCAACAGCCGGTGTGCCTGTTGTTAAATAAGGAGGTAAATTATGATAACGAAGAAATAGAAAATTTCATTTATGAATTATACTTATTTCAGCAAATTGTATACTCGTTTATTTAGTATGGAACAATATCAATATTAAAATCTACAACTTTACAATCTGCGGGAATCACGTCAGGAAATATAGTATTACGTCTTTTGTTTAGGCATACCGAATTAAGTCTTGACGATATTTTGAATGATATAAATACACCACCCCAAGTCCCGGATAATGGCGCTATTCTAGGCGATGCACCTGCAGTAGTTTCATCAATAGTACCAACAGAGTCAACTGCCGAACCTAAAAAGGTTAATGTTGAGCAATCAAGCTCGGAGGTTCATCCATCAATTGTGCCGACAGAATCAATCGATGAACCTTCAAAAATTGATACAACCGCTTCAACAGAGCCAGTCAAAAGAATTGATACTGAGAAAACAGATTCAGAGATTTATTCGTCGACCATCGCCAATGAACATCTAGAAATAGTGCAAAATACCGAATCAATGGAGATAGATTCTAGTCTTCCTGATCAGATGTCGACTGATGATGATGTGATACAATCTTCTTTGGAACGGACTGGTATATCGGAGGGTTCAAGCGAAAAACCTCAATCCTTACTAAACGATCATGAATCTGATGTGAGTCATTCATCGATTGCGAAACCGGCGAATCATCCTTCGGACAAAGGCCACTTTGATCGTAATATAAAAGTTTTTAATCCTCCGCCGGAAAATGTTCAATTTCAAACTAAAAGTAAGCGATATTCTAAGCTTCGATACTTATTGTAATAAAAAATCAATGGTTCTCGACTTTTTTCGAATGGTTTTTTGTACTACAGTAGACCTCCCAGATTCTTTTTACGAATTGACGGCCGCCGAATTACAATTCTTATTGGCGTTACAACACTCTAAACGTGTTTCTGAAGAGAATTTCGGTTTCAAAACTAGTAAGATGAGAGCTCAAGAAGAAAAAGAAAAGGAGCGCAAATACCCAAAGGTTAGAAATTAAAAATAAAACCTATAGCCACATTTTCAGATGAAAATTTTCTTTTTATCATTAATATCTATCTATTTAATATTAGACTCTGATTAGAGTAAAATTTCCGGATGGTTTTCAATTGCAAGCAACATTTATGTCAAAAGAAACAGGTATTTTTAGAATGCAGATCTGGAGTTTTTTGTCACCGTCATTGATTTCGATTGGTAATTTTTCTGTACGTATGCACGCATTTACATTCTAGTTGCCAAACTATATGGATTTGTCAAAGAAACGCTACGAACTCCTGATCATGCATTTGAATTATGTATCCTTTAGTACTTTAGCAAAAATACAAATATTAATAATTTTTATCAAGCCTTAACATTAATTTATATAATACAGACACCAGCCCTCCAAGAAAGGTCCTTTCTGATCGAAGCCTATCATTATTCCATGCCGAACTATCACCAGCTTCAGTGGTATATTTTATTTGGTCAGACAGAGTCAACGATGGTATATGCTATTTATTTCTTTACACAAATAATCTACTATAAACTGTGCTTACTCTCGTAATTGTTGTAAATTTAGATTCTGAACCTTATTTGTCGGAAGAATACTTAAAACTTCGAGAGGATTTCCCTCATCCTCAAACTACCGAAGATGTAACTACTTCGATAATTCCCAAGAATTCAAATGTAAAACTGGAAGATACGGGGCATATGCTATCTGAACCCTCTTCTCATGATAGTTCAAGTAAGAAAAAAAAGGACAAGGGCCACGGCGAAGGCTCTACCTCGAATCGTCAGATGCCAAAATGGTTTCGGAAACAATAATTTTGTTCCTGATTAAACTAGTATATAATTTTTATTTAATAGATCCATTGTAAAATGGTTTGCAACAAATTATTAATAAAATCAGTTAGCACAATTTGTCACGTGATATTCACGTAATATTAATTCTTTTTTTTTTTTTTCAAGCAACGTATAAATAGAGCACGTTTTTTTTTTTTTAATAAAAGATTTTTCAGCGGTTCTAGATCATAATTGCTAAATTATTCACATATTACACTAGATAATGTCACGTTACGGAGATTACAATCGCGATCCTTGGTAAATTTGTTTTCACTTTTCGTTTTGCTCGTTTAGATTTGATCATATTCTAAAATATATTTATAGCCCGTGGGTTATTTTGAATGATACGGGAGGCGCCTTTGCAATGGGTGCTATAGGTAGCAGTATATGGCACTTTGTAAAAGGCGCCAAAAATTCACCAAAGGTATACATTTTTTTTTTTGCGAGATTTAAACTTTTATGTTTAAATTATAATAAGTATACTTTTCTGATATAAACAGGGAGAACGCATAATCGGTTCAATTACAGCAGTTAAAGCTCGCGCTCCGGTATTAGGCGGAAACTTTGCAGTATGGGGTGGACTATTTTCAACATTTGATTGCGCACTGAAGGGAATAAGGCAAAAGGAAGACCCGTGGAATTTAATTGCAAGTGGATTCTTAACAGGCGGCGTTCTAGCTGCCAGGGGTTTGTTTCTTTTTTGTTTTTTATCAACTTCTTACGGCAACTGTTCGTATTGATGTCTATATTTCTTAATAATAATATAAATAGGCGGCATTGGGGCATCGGCCAGATCTGCTGCTTTTGGTGCATTCGCTTTAGCATTGATTGAAGGCGTTTCAATCGCATTATCGCGTGTTTTCGCTCCACCGCCAATGATTCAGGTCACCATCTGAGTGTTTTAACATTGATAAAAGAAAAAAAATTTTTTTTAAATAATGTCGAACTAACACCAGTTCTAAAAACTTCAAGATGCCAGAAATACAACCTCCTCCGAGCCCACATTAATGTATTCTATTTAAAAAAATGAACAATGTATAAAATAAGGTGAATGGGAACTATTTTGAGGTGTTTGCGGTTATCTGAATAATAGACGGTGCTGGTTTGTCTTAGGATCCTGCTTACATTTCGTTGGCTGTTCTTGTAAACCGGCATCAGTCTTTAGGTTTAAATAATAGTACGTGAGTCTAATATTAATGATAATACTGTGACTAAATTGAATGTGTCTTTGTCGTAACGTGGTTATGAATTTTAAATGTTATTTTACAAAATGTCATAAGATATGTTAATGTACATTCATTAATTTAAACTAAAATTTCTTTTTAGGTCAATGTTTTAAATAATAAATATTAGACTGAGTACTTTATATATTAAAATATAGACTTATTTGTTAAAAATTATTGGTACAATCAAATTTGAAAAGTTTTTTAAATATTATATAACTAAGTTTAATCTTAAAAACAATATTATGCTTCTTCACAAATAAACTTATTATCAACAATTAGTCAAAGTTAAATTATATAAAAAAAAAAAATGAAAAGAAAGTCAAAGTTTACTAAAAAATAATTTAATATTTTTCAAAAGATTAATTGCTATTTTTATTTGTCTTTTTTCAAAAAAAAAAAACGTGATTAAAATATTTTTCTTTTTTTTTTAATTATTATTTATTTTTAATTTGAAAAATTTCTTCTTGATTATTTTAGAAACTTATTTTTCTTTTGTTATACAGTTGCTTTCAAAAGTTTTAGTTTACTTACTATATTTTTATTATAAAATTATTAAAAATATAATCAAAAATTATAAAATTTATATATATTATATTTTAATACTAGTTTTATTTATTATATTTTTTTCAAAAAATTTTAATACGTAATTTTTGAAGTTTTATTATTGTTAAAAATTTTTATTCCTTTGTCAAATTTTTACTTTTGAAGAATTTTGATTGGCTATTATCATAAATCATATAATAATTAATAAAAAAATAAAAATATTTATCAATAACAAAACTTTAAAATACAGTATATTAATAAAATTTTTTAAAAAAAATATAAGAAATAAAATAGATATTAAGATATAATTTATGTAAATTTTATATTTTTTGACTATATAGATAAAAAAAAAAAAAGCTCTTTCCCTGATCCTCCTTTTTTCAAAAAATTTCCCTTTTTGGTAATTTTCTTGGAAAAAGTGAACCAGTCTAAATATACAAGAAAGAAGTACAAAACCTTAGACCAAGCTATTAAACACTCACAACATACTCAACTACATACATCAAACTATCGGGAAACACCAAGGATAGAGGTATACACTATTACATTAACCTTTTATTTCCTTTTCTTAAAAATTTTAGGAGAAAAAAAAAAAAGTTGAAAACTGATTCATAGTCAGAAAAAGGGAGCCAATATCAACTTCACATAGCTTATAGCCAGACCAGTACAGGTTAATATCTTTCTTGACATTATAAGGAACCCAAAAAGCAACTAAGCCCACTCGATAAATCAAGTTGCTTCAGTCACATCAAGGCACAGAAGGATATCAAAGCTCCCTAAAGACAAGACAGTCTTAATGTACATATCCATCAAAACAACATATCTATCCCAAATCTCATCACGCAAACATGAACACGTAAAAGCAAGACTGAAAACAAGTCCACATACGTACACTTTGTTGTCCAAACAAGTTGATTGACTTTCTACACAAATACGGTAACAACTCTCAAATTAGGATAAGATTAACAACGTAAACAAATAAACAACCAAAACAACATAACAAGATTATTTGCATTATCTAAATAGATACATATAAACAACAACAACAAAAAAGTTTATCCATAGTCTAAATTTAAAATAGTGATAAATATAAACAAGAAAAACATATAAAATATTTGACAACTATCACGGGACAAATAGAATACATATTCAATACCCAAAATACTGATACTATAGATATGGATAGAGCTGAAGCAATCCTACAAATAGTACAAAATAGAGAAGACAAGATATTAGATATCT